GTGCCCTGCTCTCGTTCGCCTTGAGAAGATCTTTCTCCAGCGGACGGATATGATCGCCCCACAAACCGGTCTTGAACCGTTCGCGCATGTTCATGCTGAGCAGCGTCGCGGCAACGAGCCACTCCGGGGCGATCTGAAGAATGTAGAAGGCGACTTTAGAGCTGGTGGTGTTGAGCGATTCTTGGGCCGTGGATGTCAACGAGTCGGTTTGCAGATGCATGACGGCGATGCGGTAAACGGAGACAATGCTCTGCGGTGGTGCGGGTTAAGATCATGATGTGTGGGTGAACGGAAAAGGAGCGAAGGAGAACTCACGAGGAAGGTGGCTAGGCAGTAGAGAATCCAGACTGCAGTGCGCTCGACATCACGTACAGTCCTTACACAATACCATATCAAGACTTGAATGACTGTCACGAAGAATAGGCCGGTAGCACCCGCGGCGTATCTATTTGCAGCAAAACCATATGTTCATGAGCGCACGCAAGACGAAAAACCCAGCAGCAGTCGCTCACCTGAGTTGCCGCTCACGCTGAGCATCGTGAACACTGTTCATGGCCTTGGGGTAGTTGACACCGGAGACGATACCGAGAGCGAGCGGGACCCATAGGAAGACGGCCATCCAGCCACAAATGATGCGATACCGCAGCCTTTCCTTTGCACGTTCCTCGATGATCACGGAGATGGGTAGTTCGGATTGAGACAGTGAGGTCGTCATCCGGTGAGACTCTGGCTCGACCTGATGGCTATCTTTGGTTCTGCTTCGACTTGGACCTTCAAGCGTAGCGGAGACGATGAGGCAGCGAAGGAGGATGAGCAGGTCGGAAGCCATAGCAACGTAGCTGAGGCCGAACGCGGACTGCATGTATTGGATGAGGCCGTGAGATACGCGTGCGGATGCACTGTGGGCTGCGTTTGCACGCAAACTGAATAAGACGACACTAAGGATCGGAGGGAGTCATGTCAATTGTCAGCCAAGAGACTGTATTGAAGACTCACCGTTCAACCGAAAACACGGTTAGATTGATCATTGGAATGTTTCGTGACCGCGGCGAGGTTAATCGCCAGATGGCGACGGGCACCAGGAGCGCATAAAGGATCGCAAAGACCACGGATGGCGCAAAATCCACAGGAAGGGGAACCCCACCGATGGGAGAAGGGAAGGTGAACGATGAAGACATTGGGACACCGTGCGATACACAGTCGCAGGAGACGAGTCAGAGAACTTAGGGGAGGTCACAACGACGGGGGGCAACAACAAGACGTATATACCCACCATGCTACCTCACGATACCTGTATTTTATATCGGATATCGGACGTGTCGCACGCTGTAGTAGATCTTCGAATCCACGATCTTGCGGTGTTACGAGAGCACGATGCGGTGGATATTCCTGCTAGTACTCCAAGGGCTGTTTGATGCGGACAGGTCTATAGAAAATCAAGAATCGAACCTCGCGATGAAGTGCGACCAAGATATCGACGACAGTAATTTTCTGGAACGAGGCAGGTTGAGTGACCGGACGTATCTAATGTTTTCCTGAAAGGTACATGTACAGACTTGCAGCCCTTGCAAGTTGCAAGGCAGACGCCGCGTGTCACGCGAATAGTGGCATCAAAAATACGCAGCACTGCGCAGACTCGGAAGGATAGAGGCGGTGCTCACAAGCCTACTGCGGACGCAACAACTTGACACGGGCTCGTGCACGGTCCGAGGGTTGAGATGATTTTCGAGATGTCGTCGTCAAATTCTGCCAGGATGGAGGGATACGAAATTGAGAAAGAGAACCAAGGCGCCTCAGGTCCTCCCAAAGGAAAAGAGGGCTCTATCGGGAATTGAACCCGAAACCTCAGACCAGTAATTTTGTTTCTCCGCAGACGAGGCGGAGCCGCGGAGGTTGTATACTTCTTCACGCATGCTCTGAATAAACAAGCGGATCAGAATGACCGTACATCGCTATCTGACAGACTATACATTACGATTCAAGACTCGATGCAAACATAGCGGCCGTTTGGCCTCCGTCAAGAGATTCGTGACCTTCCTCAACCAATTACGCAGCCCGCACGTGACTCTCGTTAGACTTGAGAATATCTTTCTCCATAGGACGGATATGGTCGCCCCACAGACCGGTCTTGACTGTTTGCGCAGATTCATGCTAAGCAATGCCGCGGCGGTGAGCCATTCCGGAGCAATCTGGAGAACATAGAATGCAATCTTGGAGCCGACGGTGTTGAGCGAATCCGGGGCCGTGGATGTCAGTGAATCGGTCTGCAGACGCATGACAACGACGCGATAAACGGAGGCAAGGCTCTGCGAGCAAATGAGGACCGCGATAGAACCATGGAGATGTCTAAGGAGGCTCACAAGGAAAGTGGACAAGCAGAAGAGAATCCAGACTGCTCTACGCTCGATACCACGCACAGCCAGTGCACAGTATATCATTAAACCTTGAATGATTGTCACGAAGAGGAGGGACGTAGCACCAGCTGCATCTCTGGTTTGTAGGGAGACCATATTCATATGGACGGGCGAGTTACAAAATTAGCAGCTACTCACCTGATCCGCATCTGAAGTTGAGCCTGGTGTGCACCTTTCGGGGCTTGAGGGTAGAGGACGCCGGCGACGATACCGAGGACGAGCGGCACCCACACAAAGATGGCGACCAGGCCACAGATAGTGCGGTACCGCTGTCTTTCCTTGGCACGGCTCTCAATGATAGCGGACGTGGGCACCGTTTCGGGTTGAGACGGTGCGGTCGCCTGTGATTGTAGACCAACTCGGGGTAGAAGGTGGATGCGATGAGGAGGTTCATTCTGAAGCGTGGCGGAGACAAGGAGACAGCGGAGTAGAACCAGGAGGTCAGCAGCCATGGTAACTGAGGTGATGTTGAATGCACTTTGCATGTATTGGACGAGGGAGTTGGAGACACGGGCGGAGGCACTGTGAGCTGCGTGGATACGCAAGCTAAACATGACGACGCTGTACAAACGAGGGCAACCGGAGCGAGACGAATCAGCAATCATTTAGTGGAGAGTGATGTTCGTGAAATGCTCACCGATCAATACAAAACCCAGTGACTGTAATCATTGGGATGTTTCGTGACTGTGGTGATATGAATCGCCAGATGGCGACCGGAATCAGGAGGGCATGTAGGATCGTAAACACCAATGACGGTGCAAAATCGATAGGAAACGGAGTTCCACCCATGGGAGAAGGGAAGGTGAAAGTAGAAGACATCGGGAACACTGAGGGAGAGGGGACGGGAAGAGGAAGCTCTGGCTCGTGCTGCTCGACGGCACCTGTATTTATACAGGATGTCTTGCATGCTTTTCGCACTTTAGCATGCGGTGCTACACGGACGTGTTGTGGCGGACGTTTTGGCCTTCATCGCTCCGAAGGTGCGGAGAGGGTTTCGCTGGGGGCGGTTCGCTGGGAAGAAGCACGTTGGGTCAATTTCAACGGCCACTTTGGCATGGTAGACACACTTACCGACTTTCTGTGGTTTCGAGTAGATGTGACTGTTGAGAGCACGCGTACGCCAAAACAATAGTGGATGTACACCACACGGCGCAGACTCTGAAGAAGTGGTACAGCCCGCCCGCGCAACGTCATCTAGTAGCTAGCTCACGACTGCTGCAAATGCGACATTCTCAGTCAATGTGTATGGCCGCGGGTTCGTAGGAGGTCCGACGTGGAGCTTACGACAATGTGGTAGTTGGGATGAAGGAATAGTATCCGGCGCTACGGGCTAGATTGACTCTCGAGTCCCAACGCTAAAAGCTCGCAGAATTCCTTAGTCAACGAAGACGGCTGTACGTTTCAGTACGTACGTTTGTATTCCGGCGGCCATCCAATACATTTTTTCCACCATAAAACTTCATCGCCAGACTCTCGAGTCTCCACCAGCGTTCGAGCTTGCTTTGTTCTCGCTGATTTCGCATCGCACGATCCGCTTGCCACTGTCGCAGCCACACACTGCTTGATATTTCCGCAGCGCCGCGGGACTCTTCGAAACGAGGATACGAGCCTCGATTTTGATTGAGCGTATCCAGCAGCATATCAGGTACGACAGTGTGAGTATTTCAGGGAAAGCAAAGGCTGGCAAAGGGAAAGACTTGGGTAGGGCAGGAAGTTACAGTATGCGACTGAGTTTTGATGTATTACATTTACCTCGCGTTCTTAGCATGGCTCAATGGTCTAGTAGTATGATTCCCGCTTCGGGAGTCTCTCCCCCGAGCATTGCTCGGATAATCTAAATGCGGGAGGTCTCGGGTTCAATTCCCGATTGAGCCCTTTTTTCTTTTCCCTTTTTTCTACCTCACGCTGACTATCCAGGCTCGACTCTACAGTATCACTATCAATAATAGCGTGCAATGCTCAGAATCTTCATACAAGTTCAGCGAGTCGCGTTTCCACGTTCCAGATGCTGTACGTCCTGTTCAAGTGAAATGGATGACGAAAGGAAGCACTGCTGTGCAGAAAGACAAGACTGCATCTCCTCATGCGTCGCGAAGGAGCTGGCTCACTAGTTTCAAGTCCTTTGACATGCATGCGATCACCGGATGCCCGGTGTACACGCTGTACGCGAATGAAAATGATTAACATGAACTTGTAGTTCTCACATGTAGCATGCACGAATTTCTATGATGACGGTCCTATATCCAAGCTGATAGATAGAGCGGAAGGGCGGTATCACTTCCCGTTCGTTTCCTCGGCCAGAGCCCACATATAGTATACGCCTGGAGTAGTGCATGAGTCAGTATGTAGGTCAAGCACTCAGCAGCGGGACTCAGGTACTCACCGAGGCTGCGATACGGCCTCCATACTTCTGTGAGCTCTTCCATCTCTTTCGGTGTGAGGAAGGCGCCTCTGGTGACCGAGTCAGAGACCGCAGAATATGAGAGATCCTACGACTCACTTGACTTTCTTCTTCGGATCGAGGCGGCCCTTGAGCATCGGGATAGTCATACCCACCGGCAGCGGTGCGGGGGGTTGTACCAGCTGACCGGTCTTTGTGACCTTCATCGTCAACGTCTTGTCGATAGACGGTGTGAACGGTATCGGCAGTGCGTCTGCCTCCGTCGCTTCCGCCTTAGAGGGCCCATCACCATCACCAGACGTAGCCACCGGTGCGGGTGGGATAGATGACTCTTCAGTGTATCCGCCCAGCGACGGCAGCACGTCCGGGTCTTGCGACGATGCGCTCGATTGCGAGCTCTGCGACTGCGTTGGAGTCGCAGTTGGCGTTTGTACAGGTTGTCCCTCTGTCGCGGGTAGCTTCTCAGGCGAAATAGCAACCTTGTAGTCTGACGAATGGAGCGCGAGGAACCACCGAACTACACCACGTTGAACACCGAGATCACCTGTGCGACCCATATGTCAGAAAGTCCTCGCGTTCGGCCACCAGGAACACTCACCGACAGGGAGGATATCCGGCCGTCGGAGCGAGAATATTGCAAACATGTCAACTGCATCGTGCGTAAACGAACCGATCAACGAGATAGCATGAAGCATCCTCACCTGTCCACTGTTTGAAAGAAACTTAGCGAATGTATTTCAGGTCTCGTTGGCCGAATGCACTCACTCGACCGATCCCTCGGACCTCAATGAGCATGTCATACAGATCTTCGTCGTTGGCCTCCAATAGCTTTTCTGTGCTCAGCCGGCCGTCGGCAAATCGAGCCGCAAGGTCCAGGACTGCGCGAGCTCTCAATGCACGAGACAGCGGCCACAACATAGATTGACGCACCGTATTCAGCTTTCCTCTGGCTCAGCCCTGCGGTCCTAAGCGAGCCGGCGTCCATCTCGGCGACCTCTTTCGCGGTTGGGAAGTAATCGACCATGCTAAGGATGTGTCGTGCTCAGTAAGTCACACAAAGTTACCGTGAGCTACCCACTTGTAGTCGTCTGGCTTCTCCGGCAGGGCAGGGTTGAACAGTCTGATGAACCTGTGCTTGATGGACCGGGCGGCCTTCCAAGATATTTGCTGTCCTCTATAGTCCATGAATAATTGATAATAAGATGGGATGGTGCAGCATCGACGCACAGTATGGAGCTCGCCAACGTGCTAAGATCACAGGGACATCAGCGACAAAGTGACCGACGCGCGTGAACGCATACCTGAACGGATCGAACTGCTCGAGGTGTTCAAACGGCTTGCACTTCATCTTGTCGAATATATCCTCAAAGCGGGGATCCGCAGAGATGAGGTGTTGCTTCGCCTTCTCGAACGAGAAGGTGAGCGTCGCAGGCACCAGATGTCGACTTTCGTCGACAACCACCGCCGGAAGCGCAAGCCCTGAGCCGGATGCTTCCTCTGGTGTAATGAGGGTCATTTCAGTCTTCTGATCGCTGTCGACGTTGGTCACCGAGTTGGCTTTCTTCCTGGGTGCATTTTGGGGCGACGAGGTGGCTTTCCGCTTCCCCTTGCGCGTGCTCCCCGTTGTTGGAGCGGCCTCTGCGGGTGCCGCGGGCGAGTCGACCAAATTCT